CGGCCCGTGCGCCCCGAGCCACCCCTCCGAGACGGGGGGGGGATGGCACCTCAGACCCGGCCAGTCCGGCCACGACCTGGTCCTCCGTGGAGTGGGAGAGGAGGGGTGGCGGGGAGTCCCCCAGGGAGAATGGATGCGGGCGCTTTCGGGGACCGAATGTGAGCATCAGCTCCCTCCGCTCCCCCAGGATCGCGGCGTGGGAGCGCGGTGCTCAGGAAGAGGCGCGGAGCGGTTGCCACAGCCGGGTTCGGGAGAGTAGAAGGTAGGAGCTGGGGTCGGTGCGGGTTGCGGGGCGCGAGGCTGAGGGCTCGGGTGGTTTGCTGGGCTTACTTAGCTCGAGGTCTTGAGGTGCAGTTCCCGCACCGACCCCTAGGGGCGCACGGCTGGTGCCCTCTCGGCACCAATTCAGATGGGAGAGTTCTGCAAGGACAAAGTTTGGGAAGAAATGAAGGCGAGGACAGCCTCTTAAGACCATAGAAGTCGCAGGGCTTAACACACTGAATCTCACCCTCTCTTAACTAGAGTCTAAGCAGGTTGGACTGCATGACTTCCCCCTCCTGCGTGCCCACCGCATCCTGTCCAGCACACTTTTCAAACCTTGTTCTCTTCCTCCACTTAAATGTTCCTTTAGTGCAGTTCAAAACCAGGGCGCTCTACCACTGAGCTACATCCCCAGCCTTTTTTATTTATTGAGTATTTTTGACACGAAGTCTCGCTAAACTGCCTTGGAGGGAGGATCTCAAATTTTCCATCCTCCTGCCTCAGCTCCCCTCAGTGCTGGGCTTGCAGATGTGTGCCACTGTGCCTGTCCAGAGCAGTAAACTTTTAGTGGCGCCTACCCCGACCAGAGGAATAAACTTTTTCATTCCAGCAGCTAGACAGCACCCTTCCTAGGGACTCGCGCTCCTGTACGGGGCCCAGAAGAGCGGAGGTAAGCAGGAAGAACTCAGGAAGAAGGTCCCCTCGCTGCAGGAGAGGCCACCAGCGCTGATAGCACACAGCTCTCCTCTCAGTGATGGGAACCAGAGCTTGTACTAGCTGAGTTTTCTTCACCTCCTCTCAGACCTACCCGAGACCGAGTGGAGAGAGAGAACCCCAAACTGTGGGAGTTGGCTCATCCCAGTGAGAAAGCCCCCCAACTTCATCACAAGGGGCTGTCCAGGAGCGACACAGTGGCTCTTTTGCTGAGCATGGCAGTCTGGGGGCTTTCTTCTCGCGTCTGTGTCTCTCTTTGTATAAACTCATCGGTGCCTGTGCCATCCGTGTCGTTCTGAACTGTGTCCACACCAGTTGTGACATTGAGCTGTGGGAGAAGTGAATTGAGTTAACACCAGATCTTTGTCAGATTAGAACCCATTCTGCTGTCAGCCCTGCTTGTTAAGCCAGGGGGGAAACTGGCCCCGGGAAACACAAGCTTTGTAAGAAAAGCAGGAGGTCTGTGGGTGAGGACATCTCGAGTCCTGCTCCTTGGGCAGGGTGCCTGAAAGCCACATTAGAAATGAAGTCCTGAAAAATTAACTTCAAATTAGGCAATGTAGGTTAAGGACATTCTAAACCATGAGAGTGAACCAGAAGAGATTAAGGAAGGCAGAGTTTATTCACCAGTTGACTTTTATGCTCCAGTCATCTTTAGTAAATACTTTGGAGAATTGGAAACATATTAACAATGTTCTTCTGTACTTAAGATATAGAAAATGTTTTGTTAGGGTTTCTTTGACACCTATTAATAGAGAGAAGCCAGTCTTGTAAAATTTTTTATAACCTCTCATTAAGATAAATGCAGGAATGATACTTGTACATGATCGATCCTGACAAAATATTACATTATTAATTATTGGCTTACATTGCAAATATTTGTTTTTAAAATTCTAACATACAACACGGTTACTATTAACATTGCTTTAGCTGTCATTAGCCAAGATAGTCTACATTTTATAGCCCTTCGACCTATAACTTTTCATTAAAAAAATGTAGTGGCTTGGGTGTCATATAAAAAAATTCTTGTGCCAGTAGACATCTGTTTTAAAGTAAATGTCACTATCTCATGTTTTACAAAATAAGCCAGAAATTCTTAGTTACTTGTCTTCAGCTAGGGTTGAAATGTATGTTTCAGATTCACTTAAACATGAACATTCTTGCTTGTGTCTTTGCTAGTTTGGGAGACTCCAACACTTAGAAATGTCTTTTTTTTTTTTTAGATCACTGAAAGTTGAGATCAAATCCCAAGGACTGGAATTTTGTCCGGTCCGTAGCCCTCTGTCTGGTGTACTCAGTTAATGTTGAGGAAGGTTTTTGTACAAGACGATCAGACTGTTGTATGAGGTAGGGCTCCCTCTTGTGGGAGAAGTCAGAAGCAGCCACCTGTTAAGAACTCATTCATATTCATATGATCCAGAGTCTGATTAGAATTTTCAATGAGCCGGGGATGCAAAGACAGGAAAGATTAAGTATTTGGCCTCCAAGAGATTGCAGCCTAACAAGGAGACAATGTTCACCAATTAGAGTACAGTATAATTGTCATGATCGGGGAGATACGCTCAAAACGCAATTAGAATGTTAGAATAGGAAACATCCACCGGGACCAGTGGCATCAGAGGAAGTCACAGACAAGACGAAACATGCTGGGACTTGGAGTGAGAAGAGGTGTTTGCCAAGGGGCGAGAGCATTCCAGGAAGAGGAGGTAACGCATACAGCAGCTTGAAGAAGGCTTGAAGGAGCATGTCGGATTCAGGGCGTGGCAGTGTGGCTCCAGGTCAGGGCAACGGATGGAGTCAGAGGTGGAGCAGTGGGGAAAGGGGGCCAGGTTACAAAGCGCTCTGTCTGTATCTGACCTGAGAGGATTAGAGTTCACCCAGGCGGAGAAGTGAAATGATTGTAGTAGTTATTGGAAAAAGTATTCTTGCACCAGGCAAGAGAGGGTGAAGATGAATTAGGACAGAGGTAGTTCAGAAAGAAATGTGTGAGTGATTTCAAGAAATATTTAAGAGGTACGATAGTCCTGGTTCTGGCTTACTTGATGATAGATGTAGTACTGCCAAAGAGACAAAGAAAATAGAATAAAAAACAACGGGAACAGTGGACTCCATCTGGGACCTGTACTGTTGTTATCGTTATTCTGTCCTTTTACAGTGCTGAGTGGGAATGTCCGAGTGAAAATGTCCATGGGGTGCTTGGCCCTTTAGATACTGGAGTCTGGGGGACTCGTGAGGACTACCAGCCACTGGAATGGACGCAGTTGCCCAGGGATTCTTGAATAGTGTGAAAAGAAGGGAGCCGAGACAAAATCCCAGGGAGTGCGAGCATTTCATGGGGAAGAAGAAGATGAACTTGCAGAGGAGCCAGGAAAGAGATGGTGAAAGGCTGGAGACCCAGGAGAGCACAGTATCGTGGAGCTCAAGGGACTAAAAGAACGAGCAAAGAAGATGTGTTCTGCAGGCTCACGTCTCACAGAAAGTTCAAGAAGGGTGAAAAGTGAGGATTCTGCTGTGGAGTTTTCACTTAGTGGCATCATGGAGAAGCAGGGATGACAGCAAGTTAGATCACAGTGGGTTGAGATTGTTAGGGACGGAATCAGTAAGTGACACGCACAGAGGCAGCAGAATGGAAGTAAAATAACTAATTTATTCATCGATAAGGGTCGATCGCACATAAGCCGTGACTGGATGGACAGCGCAGTGGGTTACAACTCCTCCTTTTATAGCGTTTTACAGCCTTGAATTCATGTGGGTGGTTACATTTCATTCTCACAGTTTAAATCACAGTCACAAGATAGTTCATCTTTTCAACCCAGATATATCAATTCTTTGCTGTTGGGGAGTTCACCTTTAAGTTTCACCTAGTTATCTGTCCTAGTCCATAGGAAGGGGGTGCTCAGGGTCACGGGAGCGAATGTTGGCAATGGTCCTTTTTATCTTGATACTCTTATGATCAGATGGCTTCAGTCTCATCGGAGCTCAAGGTCTTGCTGACCCTGTTATCTCAGGGTCGGACCAAATGTCTCATTCAGTAATTAGTGCCTTTGGTGCCTATTAGTTCTGAGCTAAACAAAACAAACTGCTGTTAGAGACAGCAGAGGTCATTTTACGTTGTAACACTTTATAGGTTTTTGCTATTTATAAAAGTTTTCCCTATCAAGATAAAGCAGATAAAACCAGCACAGACTATTCTTTCCAGAAGCCTGGCTGTGAACCGGGGTGAGGTGTAGTGGAGGGGAGTAGTGGAGATCAAAAGAGGTCTCCTTTTATTAAAATGGGAGAAATTTGAGCGTGTGTTTGGGTGAAGGAGCCAGACACCAAGGGGACAGGGGATGGCCAGTGACGGAGGTGGCAGAGAAGGCAGGCAGGTGTGGGGTGGAGCCAGGGAGGTGGAATTTGCCCAACTGGAGAGAAAGGAGTGGCCGGGAAGAGTTGAATCCCAGCATTCGAACTGGAAGGGACCTGGAGAGCCTCTTTTCCAGGACCAGGAAGGAAACCACAGACCGAGGACACTGTCACCTGCCCAGTGTGACAGTGTTAGTCATTGAGACCTGGGACAAGAGCCAGCACCAAAGCAGGCGTAGAAGAGAGGAACAGTGAAATGCCCTCCTCTTCCCGCTCAGGACTGCTCTGGGTCCTTCACTTACACAATCTCCTGTCATCCTCACAGAGACCCCATGAGCAAGACATTATCTCTTTTCCAGTAAAACCAGGTCTCTGTAGAAGTCCAGGAAGTTGGAAGAAGCAAAGGCAGAATTACTTTCACCAGCATCAGCGGACTAAACTATGGGGCCTCCTGGGCTGAGGCCCCAGTGCAGATCACACTTAGCAACACGAGTGGAACTTCGACCACTGATCTGAGATGCTTTGTTCATTTAAAATATTTTGACATCTATGAAATGGGGGTGTGTCTTATCAACAGTGGCAGTCATGGTTTCATTGGCAGTGACTTCCCCCCTTTTCTGGTAACACATACACAGGCAGTTCTAACTGAGACCTAACTAAACACAGCACTTTCAGGTTCTGTTGCCCAATATCTTCTCTCCAAAGGGACAGGCTAGAGTTAAATGAGCTCTGAGAATAGAGGACAGATGAAGGAGTCCAAAGCCAGTGTTGGAGCTGAAATATGGCCTGGGTATTTGGATAGAGACAGGTGCAACAGAAAAGCATCTGCCCAGCATCCGGCTGGTGGAGGGCACGTGCCCCTTGAGCGATTATTCAGGTGAACTCAGCTCAGTCTCCACCAGAATATGAGCCAGGGCATCTGAGAAGCTGGACAGACCGACCTGGACAGTGACAGGCTGGGAATCTGTCCGCTGATGATACAGTCGGACTCTGTAATTACCGCAACTGTTTGGCCTTTGTTCCTTGGGCCCCTGAGGAAGAAAGCCAATCTTTTTGTGATCTGTACCTTCTACCCTCACGCCTCCCCTTGATAGTAAACATAGCTCTTTTTACCTCTGCAATCTGTCTGCTTGTGCAAGAAGCCCGGGGAGTGGGAATAAAAGAGAATTTTATCTCTTAAGATGATCCCAGAGGAAACAGAGAAGCCTTGAGGGTCTGAACTACACGGTGTAGAGGGCTGTTGGCTAGGAAGGGAGCTCCTCTGGCAGCAGAGGGTTGCTGAGGCCTTAGTTCTGCCAGGCCAGAAGGTGGTGAGATGGAGGCATGGCTGAGGGTAGGCAGGGAGGAGTCTGGCGAGAAGCTACAGGAAGGGTAGGCTGGCTAGGGCCTGAGCTGGTTCATTCTGGCTGCATCCCCAGCAGTAACAGCACCGGGTAAATAGATACAGGGCTGTCAACCTACTCTTTGTTGTTGTGCAGCATTGCCTCAGGCACACCGCCACCGCAATGGCTGCTCTCGGGCACACGTTCCCCTTCTATACCGGCCCCAAGCCGACCTTCCCGATGGACACCACCCTGGCTGTCATCATCACCATCTTTCTAACTGCCTTGGTCACCTTCATCATCATCCTCCCTGGCATTCGGGGCAAGACGGTAAGAAACAAACCCAGCCCTGGACACCCCAGCCCCAGAGGGGCCTCAGCCTGAGTGAGGGGTCCAGAGCCAGTCTACAGAGAGGCTCAGGGAAGGGACCCCAGTGTCCCCACTCCTGGATTCAACAGATCACTGCCGGCACCTGGTAGGCGCCAGACCCTGGTCACCAGGAAACGAGTGGCCTCAGTCATAGAATCCCAGCCCCCACCCCAGCGTGGAAAGGGGGGAGGGCGTGGAAGGAGGAACTGCTTCCTAAGCCCCTCCCCTCCCCATGATGCAGAGGCTCTTCTGGCTGCTGCGGGTGGTGACCAGCTTGTTCATCGGGGCTGTGATCCTGGGTGAGTGCCAGACTCTCCTACTCCTCGTGTCCCCGCAGTGACCCCTGCTTCATGGTGGCTCCCAGACCCTACCCAAAGAGGGCTGCCTGGGGGACCTTGCTGGATGCACCTCTGCAGCCCTGGGGACATTTTTATGCTCTGGCAGAAGGTCCCAGGGACAGGAGTGGAGGAAATGGGATAGGGCTGCTTGCTCGGCTTTGGGGATTGGGCATCCTGTAGAGACAGAAGGCGTCCTCCTCACTGAAGCCCCGTTTGCCCGTCACGTTTACTGCAACTCTTTCTCCCTCAGTGTGTTATTGGGGTGTGCAGGGGGTGAGCGAGGGAGCTATTGGATCCCGACCTGTTTCTCCACCCCACACCAATGGCTGGCAGCCTTCCTGTGAGCCTGGCTAGTGGGTACGGGGGTGACCAGTCCAGGATGCACCCCTGAATTCCCACGTGTTCCACTCCCCCGCCCCAGCTGTGAACTTCAGCTCTGAGTGGTCAGTGGGCCAGGTCAGCACCAATACGACCTACAAAGCCTTCAGCCCTGAGCGGATCAGCGCTGATGTGGGGCTGCAGGTCGGGCTGGGAGGGGTCAACATCACGCTCACAGGTGAGTTGCTCTGGCCTGGGAGGGAGGGCCCCTGCACTGCGTTAGGGAGCTGCTTTCTTTCACAAGGTCCAAAAGGCTGCCGTGTGCTGGGGCCTGTGGTTAGAAGGAGCCGTGGGTGTGGGTACACGTGATCCACCGTAGCCCAGGGGTCCCTGCCAAGTAAGCAAGCGGGCGCAGCCACCCTTCCCCCAGGGACCCCAGTGCAGCAGCTGAATGAGACCATTGCGTACAATGAGGCGTTCACTTGGCACCTGGGCAAGGACTATGCTGGGGAGTACGCAGGGGCCCTGAGGAAGGGGCTGCCAAACCCTGTCCTCTACCTGGCCGAGAAGTTCACCCCGCACAGCCCGTGTGGCCTGTACAACCGGTACCGCCTGGCGGGACACTACGCCTCTGCCATGCTGTGGTGAGCCAGAGGGAAGGAGTGGAGCTGGGGTGACGTGAATGTCCCGAATGGGGTGGGCTGGCGTGGGTACCGTGCTCCTGGTTGGGAAGCCTGTGGCAGGTTGTCCTCGCCTGCGGGGGGACAGAGGTGCTGGGCCGGTCCTCATGGCCCCACTTCCCAGGGTCGCCTTCCTCTGCTGGCTGCTGGCCAACGTCATGCTGTCCATGCCTGTGCTGCTGTACGGCGGCCACATGCTGCTGGCCACTGGCATCTTCCAGCTGCTGGCGCTGCTGTTCTTCTCCACGGCCACGTCACTCACCCCACCCTGTCCCCTGCGCCTGGGTACAGCGGAGCTGCATACCCACCACGGACCTGCCTTCTGGATCACACTGGCCACAGGTGAGACCCGCCTCGGCCCCCGGCTCCCAAGGGCTAAGGCCAGAGAGGGAGGACTGGGGCCCCGTGTGTGGGTGGGGCCAAGGCTGTGCTTCTGGAGCCCCATCAAACTAAGGAGGACGCTGGCCGCCCTGTCCCCAGGACTGCTGTGCCTGCTGCTGGGCCTGCTCATGGCACTGGCCCACAGGATGCAGCCCCACAGGCTGAAGGCCTTCTTCAACCAGAGCCCGGAGGACCCCACACTCGAGTGGAATCCTGAGGAAGGGGGGCTGCTGAGTCCTCGCTACCGGCCCATAGCCGAGAGCCCTGTGCCCCCCGACATTCCTCTGTCCCAGGCTCCCTCTGAGGCCTGCTGTGGGGAGGAGACCCCCGCCGAGCCTGACTGTGCCCTCTGAGGTCCCTGTCCCATCCCGATGGGCGGCTCCTCAGGGAGCTGCAGCAGGTCCTCAGCTCCCGGACGGAGCAGGTGGGAGCTAAAGGAGGCTCCACCCCGTGATGCTAAAGAGAACAAACCCAGAAGCCCCCCCCCATCTCCCTGTCACCCCTAAAGCGGGTAGCCCCTATTTCTGCCCAGCAGCCCCGCCTTTCCTGGGTGCTGGGCCTCCTCCGGGTGCCCAGCGTTCCTCACACATCTGTCAGTGTCATTCTTCCACAGACCTGTCCCTTTGTACCTCTTGGTGTGTGTGCATGTGTGTGCGTGTGTGTGTCCTCTCCGTCTGCACTGGAGACCACCAGACAGCTCATTCTGGCTCCAGCATTAACCAGCCATGCCACGTTTGACCTTCAGGTCCCAAATATACTCAATAAGACTAGGATTTGCCAACGAACGACCTTTAAGAAAGTAAAGTCCTCGATTTACTGTTATGCCTCGCTGACATCTACTTCGGCCCCCAGACACCACTCCAAAAGAAAACAGCTGGAAAGAGTGAATCACTCCAAAAACCCCCTTCTTCCCAGTCCATGCAGCAGGGACCCCGGGAGAGAGGAAGGGTGACCTTCCTGGTCACAGCCCTGCACGCCCTCCCCGGCTGCTGGGGTGGTTTCCGCTCCTGCGTCACTACACTAGAGGGCGCTCCTCCAGAGCCTGTCTGGGTCTCGGGTTTCTCCAGCGCTAGGAACCGGGTCGGGACACAGAAGTGGGCCGTCCCAGACCAGCGAGGCCTTCCGAGGGCGTGTGGCCCAGAATCGGGAAAAACCATGGAAATTAATGGGCCGGGGAAGTTTCTAAAAATAAAAGAAGTAAATGTATTTACAGCTCGCTGTGTCCTTGCTTCTGGCGCACGGAGGAGTCCCTGGGGTGCCCCGCCCATGGCCTGGGGCGCGCGAGGTCCCCAGACGGGGAAGAGTCCAGAGGCGGGCGCCCTTCACAGTTTTGTGGTGATCTTGTAGTCCAGGGGCGCGAACTGTGGGTGAACCGGGTTGCTGAGAATGAAGGGCGAGCCCGCCGCCGCGGGGCTACAGTAGTCCGGTCCGCTCTGGTCGAGCACGGCGCGAAGGGCGCTGGGCCAGGCGTAGTGGAGAAGCACCACGGACCCTCCGAGCAGCAGGCACAGGATGCCTGCGGGGAAGGAAAGGGGCGATCAGGGCTCCGGGCCGGCCCCTGGGCCTGGCGGAGGCGCCCGCTCGAGTGTCTTCCCCAAACACCGGTTGCATGCACTCGCCCACTGCAGAAAGACCTCTCCTCTGGACTGCAGGACACACGCCTTCACTCGCAAGGGTAGAGACGCCGACCCCTTCGGAGGGAACCCTCTGTATCTGTGAGATGGGCTCCGGGGGTGGGGGCGCAAGTTCGAGACCAGCCTGGGCTAGTGAGTTCAAGGCCAGCCTGCACTGCACAGCAAGACCCTGCCTCAAAAACCAAAGCAAACCGGGCCGGGGATTTACCTCAGTCGTTCCACCGAAGCAAGCGCAAGGACTTGAGTTTGATCCCCGGTACCAAAACAAACAAAACAAAAAAACCTCAAAGCCGTTGTCGCCTCTGCCCCAAGCGTCCGGGATCACTCTGTGGAACGGAAAGCGCAAGCTCCCGGCCCGGTCCTCACCAATAGCCAGCGTGACCCAGAAGGCGGCTCCGTAGCCAGGCGTGAGCGCGGCGGAACCGAGGCGGAACGGGCAGAAGGGCACGCTGGAGACCGAAGCAAAGGCGAAGACGGCGAAGAGGGCGAAGGCGCCGGTGACCAGCAGCGCCAGGCCGCCGTAGAGCGGCGCGGGCATGGAGAGCAGCGCGTTGGAGAG